TGTTAAAGAAAATATAGTAATAGGTACTTTTCAACATAGACATAAGACAATGCAGAATTTAGGAAAATGCAGCTAGAGGGAAACAAAACTTCAACCTGAACAAAGATAGAAAAAAAACATAACGGCACAATGCTGGAAAAGGCCAGAAAACGAAATCCTACCTAATCATCTTCTTGTTTTCTGCATAACAGTCATTATGGCATGGTACGTATAGAAAATCAAAACTACTATTAAAGAGAGCACTTAAGACATGTCGACTTAAGTATTCTGGCATGTCATGGCATGTTCCCACGGCACGAACACGTCGACTTATGTAGGAAAATGCAAGATGAATAGATAGAACACGTCGACTTATGCAGGAAAATGCAAGATGAATAGACAGAATGACACAATTTTGCAGAAAAAAAAAGGCAAGAAAATACAACAATAGTTAGTATTCGATCCTGCAAGTGGTATCAGAGCTCGTTTTCTTCTTTAGATTTTTACCGATCTAAAGTTTTTGCAATGGCTAATAAGTTTATAAGTAAGCCCCATGTTTTCGATGGAACGGATTTTTGTTATTGGTGTAGTAAGATGCAATCTTACATTATGATCTTAATATTTGGAGAAAAGTTTCTAATCCTTATGTAATTCCTAATCAAATTAATACTGTTGTTTTAAAAAATGAATTTGAAAATAATTGCAAAGCTCACAATTTTCTTTTGAGTGGGATGAATCTGATAGTAATGTAAATTAATGTGGATGGATCTAATTGTGATAGTGAAGAAAAGCTTAGTTATGATCAATTAGAACATATTGCTTTCAAATTTGCTGAGAAACTTAAAACATGTTCTAATATGCTTGATGAGAGGGATTGCACTATTGAGATTCTGAATGCTGACATTGATAGATTAAAATCTTCGATTCCTAATGATGATGATTGCAAATCTTGTGAAGTTTTATTTTCTGAAATTAATGCATTGCGAGATGTCAATTCTATTAATTGCAAGAAATTGGAATATGAAATTGAAAAATCTAAAAAAAAATGGAGTCTTCTTTTGGTCTTGGATTTGCTTTGCATGCTTGTGTTGTTGATGAATTGGTTTTGACAAAGAACATTTTGACAAAATACAAAGTTACTTTTTCTGCAAGTTCTTTGTTCAATGTTTTAGGTGCAAAAAGGATTAAACAAAACAAAGATGTTTTGGTTTCTCAAAATTGTTCAAAGTGTTTTTTGAATGAGATGAAATTGAAAGATGTTTTAGGACTGGTTGAGCATATGGAAAATATTGTGAAATCTGATGAAGTGCTTTCTTGCCCCAAATGTTGTAAAAGCAAAAGTATAATGGTAGATTGTGAAAATTGTGCTAATTTGGAAAAAGAAGTTTCTTATTTGAAAAGTTCTTTGCAAAGATTTTCTGATGGTAAGAAACAGCTCAACATGATTTTGGATCAATCTAAGGTGACTAGTTACAATAGGGGTGTTGGTTTTGATGTTCATAACTATTTCACCAAAAATCATCCCAATGTTTTGAGTGTGACTGAACATGGTGAAATTTTGAGAAAACCAAGTGCTAAGAAAACAGTTTTTAAGTCTGCTGGAATTTTGCCCTCTCTTTCTAGAACTTTAAAAGAAACAAAAACAAATCTTTCAAAACCATCTACTTTACAAACTTGTTGTGAGAATTATATTTGTTCTTTTTGTGGAAAAGATGCACATTTGGTTAGTTTTTGTTTTCGACTTGCCCGTAAACAGAAAAAGGAAAGAGAAATTGCTTTTGCAAAACGACGATGGCAAAAATCGGGTTTTGGTTCGAGGAGCACGGTTAGACCGACACTGACTAGTCGGTCAGACCGGCCAGCGGTCAGATCGCAGTTGAACCGGTGGTCAGACTAGATGCCAGGCCCGGTCAGACCGCAGGGACAACGGTGGTCAAACCGGCTTCCGGGCGATTTTGCACGTAATTCAAATCGGACTTTTGTGAAACGACAAGGTAAGTTTTCAGGTAAGTTTAGTTCTGATTTTGTTAGTGCATATGTACCTATTGGTTCTACTGGTCGTGTGACTCAGTGTTGGATTCCAAAATTTTTTATTTCTAACCCCAACATGGAGGCCTCGACATTTTCTTGTTCGTAGGTATTTTGGTGGCATACTCCCTATGTGCGTTCAACGTTGAGATGGTGAGTGCTTTTCAAGGTAATATCAAGATAATTTTGGATTGACATAATTTTGTTCTACTTTCTTGATTATTAGGTTTTCATATGCTAGTGTTTGAGATAGTAGTTTTTGTTAATACAAGTGGATACATGTCAATTCATGAGAACCTTGGTGATATCATTGGCAATTGGATGTCTTTTTCAAAATCTTTGATTTCTTCTTGATTTTTCTTCGGGGAGAATTAGAGGTTAATTTGAGGTGGAGTTTATGCTTTTTCGTGCATTCATGTTTATTTTTATGCATTGCTTTTAATTCTGAAAATAAATAAAAATAAAAAAAAGAAGAGCTTTGTTTTATACCTCTAGTATATTCTTGTGCATGCTAGCAAAATAATTGAGGTATATTTGTTGCAATGTTAGCTTGTATGCGTTTTAGTCTTTATATAAGGCTTAGATATTGCTTTTAAGTGAGATGATGCATGATACTAATTCTTTTACTTGAATTAATAAAATATGCAATATTGATGATAGCATATGGATTGATTTATAAATGCTTATGTATATGCTTTATTGAATTGTTATTCCTCAAATAGCTTTTATTTGCTCATTGTGCAAGAGAATAAAAAATATCTATGAAAGAAAAAAAAAGAATACCGAATCCTTGGAAATAGTCATGACGATAAATACATATTCGATGTGAGCAAAAATAATGAGTGCCGAATCCTTGGAAACAGTCTTGACGACAAGGACATACCCGGAATAATTGAGAGAAAAAAAGTGAGCAAAAAGGCTCAAAAAAAAGTTTAAAAATTCTCTTGATTGTTTTGTACTAAAGTTAATTTGAGAAAGAGTGATAAATGTAATAGGTATATATGTATAGTGTTTATTTTTCAATCTATGTGCTTGTGAATATATTGCATTATAAATCATTTGAAATTATGAATCCTTATTGCTAATTTAAGCTTAATTGTAATATCTTTGATTCATGTTTATATTATGATGCATGCTTGCTAACTGGCTAATTAATTTATCTTCTTTGTCTTGCAACACACGATCATGGATTGCTTTTGGTGCACTTCAAAGCTCTCGAAAAAAATTAGAAAATAGAAAAGAAAAAATTGGTTATTTCAAGTGACAATCATGACATCATTGCATTTGTACTTTATTGTTTATTATTTTTTTTCTTTTGCATTCTTGATGAAATCATTGTCAAAGGGGGAGAAATATGCAAAATGAATGCTTTTTGAAAGGGGGAGAATTGAATTGTTTTGATTGTAAAAATAGTCGATTTTGTGCTTTGATTATAAATTGATGGGAGAAATTCTTTCTTTTAAAAAGGGGGAGAGTTTTTCTTTTCACTTTTGTGATTTTTGTTTTTATTTTTCAAAAATACAAAATTGCATTTTGGTGATGTTGCCAATATGTTCATCAAGGGGGAGATTGTGAAATCATTGTCATGTTTAATATTTTATGATGAATAAATTGGCTTTACAAATGATTTAATCAATGAATTGATTTTGAAAAGATGTGTGGATGTTGGTGTGAGTGCGTGTGACTAATGTGGGTCAGGTTGTGATATCTGTACCCAGAAACGATTGTTTTATCTGATTATGTGCACGTGACTTGAGGTCAGCCTTGGTCAATGGTGAGGACCGGGACTATGCTCAGAGAGGAGTAGAGGTCTAGTGCGGTCGGAATACCATATGAGAAGGTGACTAGAGTCAGGATTCTTAGAGGTCGATCAACTTTGGTCAACGGTGGGGATCAGGACTAAACTCAGGGAGGAGTTGAGGTCCAGACGGTCAAGGATACCGAATAACGAAGTTGGATACGATATAGTATACGGTGGATGGACATCGTGTGGGAGAAATCTTCGTAATAGGCTTCACGAGGTGTGCATGCAAGTGTCGGTGTTCGCGAAGGAAATTGGTTGAGGAAATTCGGAGTATATGGTTGCTACAGTACTCATGGTACTGTAGCGTGGTGCATATGCATGTCTCGTTGCATGCATGTGCTGCGTACTTGCGTGTGCTATACTGTTGTGTTGGCGTCGGCTTGTGCTGGAACAACCGACCCAGGAGGAGGCCCAGACGAGCGACGGCCTGCTTGGTGATTTGCTGGCCCATTGGAAGAAGGGTCAGCGCGTGGAGGAGATGGCCCATGCGTGAAGCTTCAGTAGAGGAGGCGCACGTGTGTTGACAGGAAACGGAGATCGACGGGCAGTCGGTTTCGCGCAGGAGTTTGATTGGTTTATAAGCAGTCCGGCTGTAGTTTCGGAAAATGTATAGGTTTGGAAATTAAGGGATTGAGTCCTATTGTTAATAAAAGTTTTACAAGTTTTTATATAAATAGATGAGGGGTTGAGACGAAGAAAAAAAGTTAGGGTTTACTTCAAGGTTTCAATCATAGTTTGTTAGTTGAGAGGGATTACTTCGAGGTTTCAATCATAGTTCGTTAGTTGAGAGAGGAGTGCTTTAGGTGCACTTAGTTGAGAGAGGAGTGCTTTAGATGCACTTTGTTTCGTCGATACGTGTTTTTTGGATCCCGACGGTTTGACCAGATATTTCACACCCTAAACTTTTAAAACCACTTTTAAAACCGGACGAATTACCCCCTACTCAATATAGAATGGTTTTCATCCTACGTGTACACGTGGCAGATCGGAATGGTTTTGTCCTACATGGTATATATGTACACGTGGCAGATCGGAACAGTTTTGTCCTACATGGTATACATGTAGCGCTAACGTGGCAATCCAATAAAAAATAAAAAATTAAAAATTAACATGGGCCCCACATGTCATATGGAGTAGTACTAAACTCTCTCTCCTTCCCTCCGGCATCGTGGGCGCGGCGTGGCGCGGAGCCAAACGTGGCGGAGACGACAGGGATGGCAGGTGGAGCCGTGCTCGCTGGCGAACACCAAGGAGGAGCTGTGCGCCGGCGGATGTGGAGGAGGAGCCATGCGCGCCGCACGGAATCGAGGACTCCTCGCCACGTCGCCATAGCCCCCTGCCTTGGCAGTTGGCAGTTGGCAGCGTCTGCCGCCTCCACCGTCCTCAACGCGGCCCACCGTTGTGAGTTCGGGTTGAATCTAAGCTTCCTGCAATTCTGCATGCTCTTGCACAAATCCTACGAATTCCAGAATCTCGTTGCTCAAATCCAAGGCTTAAGGGAGAAATTTGATTAAACCTGTTGTTCCATGAGAATTTTCAGATTATACCACCTAGTACGCACTGCTTTCAGGATTTATCACCCAATTTACACTACTTTTAGAATATACCAATGGAGTGTGAATTTTCTTCGTTCCGGGCCACTCCATCCCCTAGCGTCAGTCACACCATCATCCTCCGTCCTCCCGGCGCCACCGTCATCAGTCCGCCACCGCTCGCGCTTGCGTTAACCGCGCCGTCGCCCGTCCGTCGCGTCAGCCTCGCCATTGCCCGTCCATCGCCGCCCGCGTCAGCCGCGCCGTCGCTGGTTCGTCGCCGTCATTGGCGTACGTGGTGGTGGGCCGGAGGAGAAGGGAGCAGCGGTGGAGGGCAGAGGCCAGAGGGCGTCGAGCTCCGGTGGCAAAGCTCTATACGAGCTCGAGGCTGCGGTGGCGGAGATTGGACCGGCGATGGCTCGGGGCGTGGTGGCAGCAGCCCGGTGCGGCAGCGGTTGAGCTTGGGGACGATACGAGCGAGCTCGCCAGAGGTCACCCTCGTGCTGCTACTTCGTGCCGTCCGCGCGCATATATGGCGCCGTCCGCATGGAGGAGGAGGAGCTTTGCTGGTGTGGGGAGGACGAGCTCGCCGACAGCCAAACAGCGCGCGCGTGGGGGAGGAGGAGCTCGCCGGTGTGAGAGAGGACGAGCTCGCCGGCGGCCAGATGCGTGTGGGCAACGGCGCGAGTGGGATGAACTGACGATGTGTAGCTTTGGTTAGACAGAGTGGCCCGGAATGAAGAAAATTCACACTCCAGTAGTGTATTCTGAAAGTAGTGTGAATTGGGTGATAAATCCGGAAAACAGTGCGTATTGGGTGGTATATCCTGAAAATTCTAAAATTCTAGTTGTTCCATATAATCACAATTCTGTTTATTCCTGGTACAGAGGCGAGAAATCTCACCGGAGAAGCAGACAAGCTACCAATGCCAGTGCTCGTTTCTTGAGGTGAGTACTGAGTACTGACTCATCTGCGTGTTCTTAATTGAACTGAAAAGTGCATCTAGATGTGAATTTTTTTTCTGAATTTAGTTAATTTAACAAGGTTTCTATATCTGACATGATGCAAATTTTGCTCAATGCTTTCCAGGTATATAATGAGTAGATTAATGACCTGTTGGATCCATCTCAGCGTAACTTTAGGTATATTCTAATCCTGTATATGGTGTTTGCTAATGGATTGCATTAAACTTATTCAGCTCCATTATTCTAGATAAGAGAGAATGCTTGCAATGGTGTCCATGTTGAGAACTTGACCGATGAGTATGAGTCAACGGTTGAGGACGTCAATCAGATCTTGATGAAGGTATAATCAAAATGACCTTCAATTCATTGCATTGTCAGTGTACTTTGTAGCCAGTGATGCTTTACAGCTTTGGTCAGGAAGTGGCTGCACTAATCTGCAAGTTTCTGTCAGAAAATAGCAAGGAGAGTTCGCAAAACAATAAATAAATAAAGCAAACATAGCAAGGCATTTGTCAAGTTGTTCAGAAAATCTTCTTTATCCTTTTATGGCACGGAGTAATCCAACAAAACCAGCCCGAAAATTTTTTTTTCCTCTATAGGCACATCAGTGGGACAATTTTGATCAATAAGAGTAGCAGAAAGAAATTGTCCTTTCGGTTTTGCTTTTAAAACTAGGGTTTCTTTGCTTTTCAATTTCACCTCTGCATGGATGAGGATCACAACCAGGACCTCTGCTTGATCTACCCTGTAGTCACAAAGACCTTTGTCTTGATAACAAGCTGTATTTTTGTTAAGATCGCATATATTACTACTTGTATCATGCTCTTTCGAAACTATTTGTTTCATGTTGTCCTTCTAATAACTGAGTCACTGCCTTCTCCTCTATAGAGATTAAAATCTGAATTGAAGCCTACCATTGCTCAAGCGTTATTGATAGCTTGTCTGAGCTTGTTTTTCTTACAGGGCCTTCCAAACAGAAAAGTTGGCACCACCAGTATGAACTTGAAAAGTTCACGTTCTCATATAATATTCACTTGTGTCATTGAAGCATGGAGCAAGGTAAATTAAACCTCTGGTATTTCTTCTGTTGTTTGGAGACCTCATAACCAGCTATATTTAACTTCTCTTATTGCAATAGTTATGTCAGTATTATCATTTAAAAAATCAGTATGCTCTTTAGTCAATTCAATTCTATTAGTTTCCACTAACTGATCAGCAAATATATATACATGCTGTCATTATCTTGTGAATTTACTTTGTTCAACCAAATTACAGGGTTGCTCATCAAATGGCTTCAGCAGCTCACAGACTAGCAGAATTACCTTTGTTGATCTTGTTGGTCCTGATAATGATGAACTTGATGGTGGCAGCAAGCACTGTACAAGAGAATAAAGATAAGCAGTCAAAATCTTGGGTATGTAAATTTATATGATGGCTTGTTTGGGCGGAAATTTTTATGATGTCATGAAAATTTCATCACTAAAAGGAAAAAGTACGAATTACCCTCTAAACTATTGCGACGGTACGAATTACTCCCCTAAACCACAAAACCGGACATATTAAACCTCGAACTATTGATACCGAACGAATTACCCCCCATACAATCCTGAGCAGTTTTTATCCTACGTGGCATATACGTGGCGCCGACGTGGAAATCCAATCAGAAAAAGAAATTAAAAAAATATGGCCCACATGTCATTACCCCTTTTCCCCTCTACCCCCCCTCTCTCTCTCTCTCTCCAGCGCACGTGGATAGGCAGTGGGCGGCGGCGACGACGACGCACCTGGAGCAGGCGGGTGGTCGGCGTGCGGGGGTCGACAGCAGAGTGCGAGGATGGCGCGGCGCCGGCGCCGAGGAAGGCGTTGGAGGAGGCGGGCTAGGTCGTCCCTCCCTCTCTCGCTCTCTGTGTCTCTTTCCTTCTCAGCTCAGGCAGGCAGCGGGAGACGAGTCCTCCACGGGGAGGGCGCGGCGGCGCTGCACGCGGCGCGCGCGGTGAGGAGGCGAGGCGGCCAGCGGGCTATGTCGTCCCTCTTTCTCTCTCTGTGTGTATCTCTCTGTCTCTCTCCTTCTCGGCTCAGGTGAGACCCCGAGGCCGGCGGCGGGCATGGCAGGGGCGTTGAGGGTGTGCGCGTAGCCCACGACGGATCTCGCGGGAAGGAATCGACGATCCCGCTGCCGTGTCGAGCTCCCTCGGCGACCCTCCTTCGTCTCGCGCCGCCTCCGTTTCCCGTGCCGGAGCCGACCGCCCCAGCTCGGCCTCCGCGCGGCGGCGCCCTCCACTGCCGACACCTTCATCGACGGCGAGGCTGTCTTCCGGGGAGGCGACGCATCCGACGAGGCTGCAGCGGGCGCGCAGACCTGCGTCGTGTTCGTTGGTGATGACGGTGGCGCCGACGGCGTGGCCGCGTGGGCGACGGAGCGCGCCGCGGCGAGGTTTCTGTTGGTGGCGGCGCGGCCGCACAGCGAGGCCGCCTCCTCCTCATCTCTCGCCGCCGTCTCCTCACCTCGTGCCGCCTTGGCCTCCGCAGCGGCACCCTCCACCACCGACACCACCGCCGGCAGGTGCCGGCGCTACACCTCCTCCAGCCCACCGCCCGTCCCTGCATCGCCGCCCACCTCCTCACCCCTGCGCGCTGCCCTGTAAGAGAGAAAGAAGAGAGAGAGGAGAGAGGAAGAGGGGAAGAGTATGACAGGTGGGACCCACATTTTTTAATTAAATAAAATACTGACTGGATTGCCACGCGTACGCCACGTAGGACAAAATCGCTCTGGATTGGGCCGAGGGGGGTAATTCGTCCGGTATTGAAAGTTCGTTGTGAGTAATGTCTGGTTTTCGAGTTTAGGGGGTAATTCGGCTGACCACGATAGTTCAGGGCTGACCACGATAGTTCAGGGGTAATTCGGCCGACCAAGATATCTTCAATGTTTATTTTTCATGTTAACCGGTTTCTCTTTCTTAATCTGTTAGCACTACAGTTAACTGCTTTCTTTGGAGTAATATATTAAATATCTAGCGATAAGAGTTAAAATGTGTATTAAAGCAGAAAACTGATTTCCACATTGTTACTTCAGGAAACTCGTTGATAGAACCTCGTCAATATTCCATCAGAAGCACCAGAGAGGCAGAGACCAAGAAAGATGACTCCCCACAACTTCACATATAAGGACTAAATTGTAGTACATGTCACATCGAATGTTTGGCCTTCATTAAAAGTATTAAATATAGGCTAATAATAAAACTAATTGCATAAATGATAGCTAATTTACGAGATGAATCTATTGAGCCTAATTAATCCATAATTAACACATGTTTACTACAGCATCACATAGGCTAATCATGGATTAATTAGGCTTAATAGATTCGTCTCGCGAATTAGTTCAAGGTTATAAAATAGGTTTTATCATTAGTCTATATTTAATACTTCTAATTAGTGTCCAAACATCCGATGTGACAGGAATTTAAATTTTAGGTTGTGTTTAGATCGAGTAGTATAAAGTTTTGACATGTCAGATCGGGTATGTCGGTACACATTTAAAGTGTTAAACGTAGACTAATAACAAAACAAATTACAGATTCCGCTTGCAAACTGCAAGACGAATTTATTAAGCCTAATTAATCCATTATTAGTAAATATTTACGGTAACACCACATTATCAAATCATGGACTAATTAAACTTAAAAAATTCGTTTCACAATTTACACCCAATTTGTTTAATTTAGTACTCCCAGCCATGGGAGAAGTGGGTCGATAATTTTTCGAAAAAGACCTTCGATTTTCTGTAATTATATATAGGCCATTACAAACAGTATTTGGGGGCGAAAAGGGACCGCTCTGCAAAATGAGAAAAGAGTAGGGGTTTTTTGGCAAAATAACACCCACTAACCCAAACCTTATCCGCCGCCGCTCGCACCCTCTCGCTCTGCCCGCTCCCTCTCCCTCTCCGGCGCCGCCACCGAGCGCCGCCGCCTCTGCCACCCCTCGCGCCGCCACCTCCGCCTCCCCCTTACGCCGTCCCCGTTGTCGGGCGCCGCCGCAATATCTCCCTCTATCGTTCGCCTCCCTCTTCTTGTGTTGTGGTGGTGCGGTGCGACTTGCGAGTGAGCTGCATATACCCTACGAATCGAATCGAATTCGAAGCCCGCCGCCGGCGATGGCCGTCGCTGGCCTGCTACTCCGACCTCCTCCGTGCGTCGCCATGTGCACTCCTTCCCCTTCCCCTTTCCCTTCCTCACAGAGGAGGAGGAGGAGGAGGCTCACGCTCGCTCAGCCCTACTGCACGCTCGGCCTATCCTTCGTCTCCGGCCGCCACCACCGCTTCCTCCTCCGCCGCCGCCGCCGTACGGGTACTCTCCCACAACCAACAGACGATTCATTGATTGATTTGATTGTTTGGATTCATTTAGTAGTAGTATCTAATTACCTTTTAGTTGTACTCCTTATTCTTTGTATTACTATCCGTCAAAAGTATTCATCATATCTTGGATGGAAATAGCAACTCTTGTCACAAGCTCTATACAGTGCACAAATTGGGCGGCATTCAACATTTTTTGTCCTTGTGCTGCTCAGGCTCAGCTGCTGCCCACCATAAGCTCGGGAAAATGCCTGGGATCACCTGGCTGCTCGCCACTTCTTCCTTCGTTTCCATAACTACCATTCCTAACCTCATCTACAAATTTTCTCTTGGGCTGGAATTAGACGTCAACACACTACCATCTTTGTATGAAAAACAGGAAAGCTAAAGACTAGGAAAGGAAGAGATCAGGATTTCTTATACCCATCTAATTTGTCTTCGCCGCTATAACTGCCCATCTACCTTCCTGCTTTATATAGCTGGATGAAGGATATTCCCTTTACTATATTTACTATGCCTGTATTCGTATCGTGCTGTTCCATAATTCTTTGCCAAATTAGGCATCTCACAGCCTTTGTGTTTCTTTGACTTCTTCAATGTAGAGAGCAAAAGAACAAGTCGTGGAACGGGTGTTTATGCTTCTTTATTTGGAGTTGGAGCTCCCGAAGCTCTGGTCATTGGAGTGGTTGCTCTGTTAGTCTTTGGTCCCAAAGGACTAGCAGAGGTAAACTCTTTCCCAACAAACCTGGACATCATATTTTTGCTGTTGTCCGGCTTCCTATTCTAGCTAATTCTTCACTAAACCCTCAGCATTAGCACCATATTCTAATCGCCTATAGTTTCTTAACCTGTTGCATGTACTGCCAGATCGTGGTAGGTTTTCTGCAAAGGTTTGAAAGCACACACTACATACAGAAAAGAAAAAGCCTTGCAGGAAATATTTTATGTTGTTGTTTTCTTCACTTTAAATATGTCATGTTGTTGTTCTGCTTTATTTTACTGTGAATGAAAATGAGCATGTACTTCCTGCCAACCTTTCTATCATTACGAACTGTTAGGTCTCACTTGCTTGCTTGTATGCAGGTAGCCAGGAATTTGGGGAAGACTTTGCGTGCTTTCCAGCCAACCATTAGAGAGCTACAGGTTGGTTTGTGACTTGTCTGATGTGATTCCTTGATACATATGTAACGTGTCTCTTTTTTCCGCATATAGGATGTTTCAAGGGAGTTCAGGAGCACTCTTGAACGAGAAATTGGACTTGATGAAGTTCCCCCATCAATGAACTACAGGCCCCCGACCATGAATAATAGTCAGCAACCTGCTATTGACCAAAGTTAGTTGATTTAACTGCTCCTAAAGTTATTCAGGGGGAAGTCATACCCAATTAGTTTAAAGCTTGAAGTCCACATTAGAAATTCATTCATGTCAGTAAAAAATCATAATTGCACCTTGATACATTTGCAGTGTTCTGACCGCTGGGTTGTTACTGGTTAGCTCCACTTATGTATTTACCATTTCCTTCCGTCCTAGACTCATATCCTGCTTGTCATTCAATGCTGTTAAAAACTAAGGTGGCATTCAAACAAGGGTCTTGACATTTTCCTAGCCTTGAGCAAGCACACATTTTTTTCCCTGTGATTTAAGCTTAAGACCGTGAATGTAATTCTCTTGTTTTTTTTGTTCCTTGAAACACAAAAGGCTCGGATGATAAGCCTGAGGCTGCACCTTACACCAGTGAAGAACTCATCAAAGTAACTGAAGAACAACTAGCTGCGTCTGCAGCTGCTGCTTGGAATACTCAAGAACCTCCTCCATCACAGCAAAAAGGTTTTGACATTTTCTTTGTGCCATTTCTTCAATTAGGTACACATGTTCAGTATTCATAAGATAAATTGTGCAGATTGTCTTATGTTGCATGACATTTTCCAACTGTGTAAAATTCTGGTTCGTCTTTGCCAAGTTATCAGGACTCTATGCTCCTGTAAGCATGTAGTAGTCCTAGAACAAAATGGAAGCAACACTGCCAGTGGCTTATGTGAGCATGTGTTGATTGCTGGGGCAGTTGTTAAAGGTCCTAGTGACTGCACTTGTTTTTGCACTGAATTTGTGTAAATCGTAAGCCTGCTTCAGGGGACACTCCCTTGTATCGTTTTTACTTACGTTGTATCTGAATTCTGAAAGTAATCGCTTACGAATTTCTGGTCAAGCTAATTAACTTGATTCTGCTGTGTCATATTTCAGAAGCAGCAGCTACTTCTGAAAGTAATGACGGTGCTATATCAAGAGGGAGTGATGGTGCTGGTGCTGCAATGAGTGAGCCCAATCGGAACATTTCTGAGAAGACGGAAACCGAGAGATGAAGCATAACGATGTAGAGTACTACTGTATTAAGACTGACGCAAGAACACGCTGTGGAGGTTGGAAAGAGCGGATTATGATTTTTAATTTGGTGAGCTGGGTATGCCTGGGTTTGGGTAGGGAGGAGTGATTTGAGGATCTGGTCAGCTGTGATGCATATGTGTAGTGTTGCTTTGCTGTGTAGTAGATCGACTGTAATAGAATGGACGGACAGACTGAAAGGTGATCGTCCCTCTCTTCCTCCGACCTCTTGTTTTGCTATGGATGATACTAGAGCGAGATTGTACGGTTCACGATGGATAGCAGCTGGGACCAATGCGTAATTATTTAATTAACTGGAAGTTCGGGGACTTTTTTAAAATATTTGCTGATGTGGCGCTCTAATTCTCCCGCATTCCCACGGTGTTCAGAGAATTTAATATTATTAATTTGTCATAGGAGTAGCTGTCTGTTTGTGCCCATGGGCTGTCACCACTCCCCTAGTACTATGTGTTTGATCAGTTGTCATCTGCATGTCACTTGATGAGCTTGATCTGTAAGGTGAAGAGGGATCAGTTGTCATCTGCAAGGCCATTGTCACTTGATGAGCTTGATCTGTAAGGTGAAGAGGATAGTAGAGAATATAAAAGGTGGCGGAAGGGGTGAGTGCTGGGAGATGCCACGTCGGATTGCTCTGGGTGGTAATTTTACAAAAAAAGTCCTTCAGGTTTCTATAATTATATATAGGCCATTAGGGACTGCTCTGTAAAATGAGAAGCATAGGGGCTTTTTCGCAAAATGGTGCCCACTAACCTAACTCCCCAGACCTTATCCACCACCGCCCGCACCGTCTCCCTATACTTGCTCCCTTTCCCTCTCCCTCTCCGACGCTGCCACCCCTCGTGTCGCCGCGTCCACCCCCCCCCCCCACCACCACCGCCGCCGCCTCCCCATCGCACTGCCACCTCCTCCTCCCCATCGCACTCATCGTCGGCTGCCTCCGCCTCCCCCTTCCTCTCGTGCCGCCTCCACCTCCTCTGTCGTCGCGTCGCCATCTTCGGGCGCCTCCGCCTCTGCCTCCCTCCTCGCGCCACCTTCGCCTCCCACCTCCGCCTCCGCATCACATCGCCGCTGTCGGCCGCCTCCGATGGTCGACGTCTGGATCTGGCCTCCATGTGGTCGAGGCACGCGGACCTGACCGCCCGTGTCCCCTCCTTGCCTCACCCTCTCACTCTCCCTTTGATCGCCCTCGTCTGGATCCCACTTCGCCACTGCTCTCCCACTACACCATGACCCATTTTCACCAACTAACTTGTATTGGCAAAAAGGTAGACTACACAACATATAATGTGTAAGCAAATCTATGTAGCACTGCCAACACATTATGTGTCGGCGATTTCAATTTTTGTAGACAAATAATCTGTCGACGATTCATTGGCAACACATAATGACATAATGTGTAGGCGATGCAATTATTTTCACCGTTAGTGTCGGCAAAGGTGTACATAAGGTTTTTACTTCCCTTTGCGCGTGAAGGAATCGAAAAAAATTGAAGTATGTGGGAGGAATTGGGGTGCGGAACCAAAATAAAAAAAATTGAAGTGGAGCACCCAACCTTTTCTGCTCCTAAACCCTATCTCCTCCTCTCCTCTCCCAAATCCGTCGCCACCACCGTATCTCGTCGCATCCTCCGCCCCATTGCCACCCAGAGCCACCTCCTCTCGTGTCTCCCGCCTCCCGCATCCTGCCGCTGCCGCCTCTTCTCGCCACCCCCCAGCGCCTCCCTCCGCCACCTCCTCTCACCCCTCCTGCCTCTCGCCGCCACCACTCTTCTCACCTCCCAAGCGCCTCCCTCCGCCACATCCTAGTGCTACAGATCGAGGGACGGCTCAAGACGGCGAGCTTCGTGGTGGCACACATCGGCGCCGCGCACTGGGAGGAGCCACGTTAGCTTTTTACTACAGTAAAACAATACTCGGGTGGAAATTTTACGAAAAATCCCTTCAGTTTTCTGTAATTATATATAGGCCCTTACGAACAGTCTCTAGAGAACAAAAATCGCGGAGACTGCGATGTAAAAAGTGGAAAGATTAGGAATTTTTTTCGTAAAATGATGCCCACTAACCTAACTGCCCCAAGCACTAGCTGTCGCCGCCCCTTCTCCCTCTCGTCGCTCCCTCACCCCCCTCTCCCGCCGTCACCGCCACGCGCCGCCGCCTCCGTCAACGCCTTTCACTCGCGCCGCCGCGTCCACCACTGCCACCCGCATCCCCTCCTCCCTCTCGTCCCACCCACGCTCTCCCTCTCCCTCTCACGGCGCTACCGCCTCCCCCTCGTGCCGCAGCCGTCCCCGACCCTCCACCTCCGCCTCCCCTCGCGCCTGGGAACATGGATATTTTGGGAAGTCGGGATGCATTTGGAAGGGAGGGTAGGTGGAGGCTGGGAATGGATATAATGTCATGTGTGGCTTACAGGTGGGCCAAGGCTGTGAATGTAAATTTTTCTTATGCTAGAGCTATTTTGCATTTTTATTTAGGAAGAGTATATTTTAGCAAAGTTTATAGACTGATTTAAAAAATACAAAGGGCTAAAATGTTAAATCATCATGTCCCATCCAAAGCAACTCTGCAATGTAGAGTAGTACTACCTATATCCCAAAATAAGTACAGTCGTGGATATCCGTGTCCAACGTTTGACCGTCCGTCTTATTTAAAAAAATTGAGAAAATTTTTTTAAAAAAATAGTCACACATAATGTACTATTCATGTCTTATCATCTAATAACAATAAAAATACTAATCATAAAAAATTTTCAAATAAGACGAACGGTCAAACGATGGACATAAACAGTGCAAAACTCTACCTATTTTGGGACGAAGGGAGTATCTCTCTAAGGCCTTGTTTAGTTGGGGGAAGTTTTTTGGTTTGGTTTTCACATCGGATATACGGACATATATTTGAAGTATTAAACATAGTCTAATAATAAAAAAATTATAGATTCCGCCAGGAAACCGCGAGACACATTTATTAAGCCTAATTAATCCATCATTAGTAAATATTTACTGTAGCACCATATTATTAAATCATAGCATAATTAGGCTTAAAATATTCATCTCGTAATTTACACGTAATCTGTGTAATTGGTTTTTTCTTACATTTAATACTCCATGCATGTGTTCAAACATTCGATGTGACAGATAGTTAGGAAAGTCATAGAGTGGTATCTCTCTAAACAACAAGTGCTCTGGTCTCAATTCCTCATGCCATTAGGCAGCATTCATCACCGTCTCGAAACTCATGCTTACAGTTTCAGGCCTTCTATCGTCAAAGTTTGGGTTGATTAGGTTTGATTGTGTCAACAAGACCGTGTCCCACTCGGCCACGCCACCCACAGTTCATGTCAAGTTTTGATTTAAAAATATATTCCGATTTGAGACACGTAGGATTTGATTCATCGTTTTTTCCACGTTTAATTCTGATTGTGTTCTACTCGGCCCTCTACTCCACTCTTGTCTCTCTACCTAACCTTTGAAAATGTCGCGATATCCCTCCAGCATTGAGCGACCACCCCCTCTTTTTTTTACGCCATCGCGTTACTCGACCATTATACCGACCATGCTAGCTCTATATCTTGAATTAACTTTCTCGCTTTTTCTTTCCTTACTTTCTTTGGTTTTAATATACCCTTTCTGGTTTTAATATATGACCCTGCTATAAATAAATTTATAACAAAATAAATGACAATTACATGTTTTTTAAATAAGACAAAGGGTTGAATCTCTACTATTATAAAAATTAAAGATGTTTTTGTCGGTATTTTGGTACGTCATCCGTATTTGAGTCGGCTTTTTAAGTTCGTTCGCTTTTGAAAATATAGATCCATGTTTGAGTTGGATTTTAAGCTTATTTCTTTTGGAAGTATAAAAAGAGTCGTATAAGAGATCTTTTTGATAAAACTCGCATGCTAACTTGAGATGAAATACGGACTCCTAATTGCTGCTTATGATTTTTTGAAAATAAATATCCAAGTGAATTCCCATAGTAAATTTTACCCTAACTAAACCGTATAACAATAATAAAATTAAAATAGCATTTATCCGTTGCAACGCACGAGCACTTTTCTATTATATATAAAAAGTCAACAACGTCATATATTAGAAGGGATTATCTACTTAAAAAAACATATATTTTTTCAATCGTCACATATGCGCTTTCTATCTTGGTCGTCCGTGTATTTTGTTTTTGTTATTTCTTGGTACGTCGTTCAATTCTGCCTCGCTCAATTTTTACTGACGGTTTCACTTTTCACACTGCTCCCTCGCTCTGCTTTTATTGACAGCGCCCTCTTTCTCTTTCATCAACCTTTTACCCAGTACAACACACGGGTATTTTTCTAGTCTCTCTTAAAGGTTAAAACGATGGAGGATTTAATATACACTAGTTGAGAAATAGAGTACGAACCAAACTCAGTCCGAGAGACAACAATAAAGTGGACTTTCCGGATGATGAAATTGCCCTTCCACCTTCTGGGCTTTGTTGGGCCGCTATCAGAAAAGAGGGGAGATCGACACGGCAGAAGTAGCAATGCCCAAGAGGCGTCGCCGTCGCGGTCGCGGGGTTGCTCCTCCTCCCGATCCTTCTCCGGCGACAATCGACTACTACTGTTCTTTGAAGGAGATAGCCGCCAGCGGGGCTCCAGGTGAGCCGTCCGTCATCTCTCAATTTCACATGCCTTTAGGTAGGATATTGACAATGGAATTGGAAACCCTAAACTACACCGTGAATTGGAATATGATTACGGTTTTGTTGAGCCTTAGATCAAGCCGTGGTTTCGCTTTTTTAATTTGTTATATCTGGATGAATGATTGGTTTACGTGCTTTTTTTTCCTTGGTAATCCAGCTTGTTTACTTAGGCACTGTTTGGGGAGCTTGTCCCAGCTGCAACTTTTTCTAAAAGCTGCTTCTGCTAGAAGCTGCCTCAAACAGTCCACAGCTTCTGAGAATCTATAGTTATATATTCTGAAAAATGAACTAAGAAGCCAGAAGCTGGAGAAGCTGGGTTTCAGAGCTTTTCCAGATTCTTTGAAGCTGACTACCAAACAGTTGCTTCTCAGAATCTAAAGCTCCCTAAAACAGGCCCTTAATTTGCTCGACTTCTGTGAACGTTCACAGGTGCTGAGGACTTTGTGAGGAACCATGGTTTGCACTTGCTGCTTTTTGAGACGCCCTCTGGCTTCGCAATTTTCTCTCTTTGTGGGGCTGAAATCCACATACCAGATGCATTAGAAGTAGGAGTACTGTTGTGATCTTCCTTTCTTTTTGGTTCAACAATGTGCTCACTCTTGTCGTTATGATACCTGAGTCCTATGTATTATACTTGTATAT